GCAAGAGCATCAAAGGACGCAACCAGACAGGTTGCCAACCGCCGCTGGAAAAGACTGAGCGGCAGAGCAAGCACTTAAGTGTTGGATCTCTTTCTGGAAGGTGCGTGGCGGTTCCGCGGCGCGGTGGACCTTCTCACGTTTAAGGTGCTCTCAGTAGTCGGCTGGCACAGCCACAACGTCTCTCAGGGCAGGGCTTCTGCCCCGGGGACTTCAATACATGCGCCGCACTTTCCAAGAAGAGCTTCGATAGGAATTATACAACCATAGACCCCAAACGATTTCTTGGTACGCTCTACCTTCATCCCAAGAGCAAACTGCTTCATCAATGAATTTTTTGTCGGCATTGACATCGCTATTTGTTCGGCCACACTCCTGTCCAGTAAGCCGGGCCGGTGCGCGGCCAAGACGACAAGAAGAGGACAAGGCCCAGCCACAGAGCCCAGCCACAGAGGACAAGAGGAGGACAAGGCCTGGACACAGAGCCCAGCCACAGAGGACAAGGCCTGGACACAGAGCCCAAGCCACAGACACAGAGTTCAGGGCGCGGCTAAGACTAAGAGGACAAGGCAGAGCCCGGCCACAGGACAAGAGGAGGACAAGGCCGAAGGCCCGGACACAGAACAGAGCCCAGCCACAGAGGACAAGAGGAGGACAAGGCCTGGACACAGAGCCCAGCCACAGAGTTCAGGGGCGCGGCCAGTGAGTGTGGCCAGTTCTTTTTGTCTAAGATAGAGCCCCCACAGTGAACTGTTTGGGGAAAAACATCTTGCAGAAAGTCTTCGCTCTGCCTGTGCAGTCTGCTCAGTATGATCAGCTCTTCAACAGCACTGACAATGGGGACACGACACGCGCACAAAATCACACGCTTGGGCCAAACGCGCGTTTCTTGCCAGAGTGTCTCCCCTATTCAGTCCTTCTGCCGCGGCGGAGCGTCAGCCTGTCACACCATTTTCGTCAAACGTACATCTGATTTTGATACTGGACACAGAAGCAGGTCCACGCCGCGCGCGCCGAACCCAAGCAAACCCACCTGATTGCGCAAACCCTCACTTGAGACCACAAACCTTTAAGTTCAAAGGGCTGCGCGGTCACATCTTTAAATTTACATGTATGGCGTTGCGCCCCTTTCGGAGGACAAGTAAAGCTTCCACCATCCTAACCTCAAGCCCTTGCCTCTGCCCCATTGATTCCTCTATGCAAAAATGGCATAGTGCCTCTGCCTGTGGCAGTCAGGCACGTTCACGCTTTTGTGTTTTGAGTTTCCCAGAGTCTGCGTAGCGGTGGATTACTGTTCCATACGCTGTCGTCCAGCGTGTCAGGGGCTCATCTTAATTCCATTCAGCAGGTAGGCATTCTGGCTGGCGCTCAACTGTGATCGGCTGCAATCCTTGTCCGACACAGATGTTATGCCAATCAGGCAACGTATATCTGCAGCGGGCGCACTGGCTTGGGCGCTGCGCTTGGTCCAGCTTCATTATCATGCTCTGCTTCCTTCACACCTTCTATCAAGCTTTTCTCTGTGTCCATCTTGTTCTTATAGTTTGCCCACGAGCTTGGCTTCATCGTGCCACGTGTCAAGCTGAATGCGGCCCGCGGCGCAAATGAGACTCAGCGCGACGTTGATGTTGAAGTGGTGCCAGGCTCGCTCTCCTAGGTGGACTGGCTCCCCCTGCCACGGCAGGTGTCAGCGCTGACTTCGATGCCCCAAGTCCAATTGCAAGGGTCTTTGCTGCTCAGTGTACTTTTGGGTTTGCTCTGAAGCGCATGCCGCCGTCCCGATTCAGCTGTCTCAGCCTCTTCAGATGTGCAAGTTCTGCGCCCCTCTCATGGATCCCTCTTCTTGCGCGCTCTTCTAAGAACTCCTACACCCTCCTCCTGGCCGCAAACACAGACGTCATCCATGCGTGCCTTCAGGGAGGCGTCCTTCCCAGGAACGCATACCACTCCACATGGAGCTTCCACATCACAATGGTTGGGTGTGGCGCTATCCAAGACCATCTTTCATAGGGGCTGGCTCCCACATACTGCCCTCCAGCATTCAATCTCTTTCCTCCATCACTGTCAGCGCACTTGCCTTTCAATTCTCCAATCCACAACTGTGCTCTCTTCATCTAAAGTTCTCAAATTTGACTCTTGTCCAGGTTCGATCGACATAGGTTCGTCTTCCTTCTTGTCCTTTGCTGACCCTTGCGTTTGAGGTGTAGCCCCACAACTCCTCGTCATCAATTGTGGCTGACGAACCTGTCACCGCGAACTTTGCTTTTTTCTCTCGTTTCTCTTCTGCGTCATCAACTATTGACCTTCCTCTTGTGGCTGCATGTTTCTTGCCCAGTGGCCTTGCCTCCGCCAATCTTTGGCTTCGGCTCTCCCGCAGTTCCAGACGTTGCTGGTTTTGGCGTCTTTGGCGCTGGTTGCTCTTCCCCTCCAAGGTGTTCCAAGGAACTCCTCTCAGCTCTTTGATGAAGTCTGCTGAATACCGCAGGTCTGGCCTCAATCTCTTCACTGGTCTTGCTGTGTGGGCTTGTTGTTTGTGGTTGGGAAGGCAAACGCCTTGGAAGTCTCCTTTGAGCTGCCTTTGATTCTGCATTCTCCTTCCGCTCACTGACATTGGCATCCGAACAACACGGTCCCTCTGATTGCCACAATTGGGGTATCGCACATAGCTGTATCCATGTTGGCCTTGATCAGGAATCTTGACCTTGTTCAGGCCATGTGCTCCAGGTCATCCCATGGGCATCTGCTGATCTTCACAGAGGGGTAGAGAGGCATGGTCGTCTTGCTTTTCTCACGCAAAGGCTTGACATGTGAGACGGTCTCAAGTGGCACTTCTGCGTGTTGCGCTTGCAGCATCAATGAAACTTTCCTGGCTTCAAGAATTTTAATGTTTAAAGTACTGGCTGACACTGCGTTGAGTTTGCTGCCTCAAATCCTCCTCCACATACATTCTCACTGCGCACGCGCTCGTCTGATCCAGCGTCATACATGATGAACTCGTCGGTCCTTGAACAGCTCTCCAACGCCCCAACTTCCAGCGCTCCACCAACCACCATCAACCCACTGTTTGGGGGGGGGGGAAGGGGTCCTAGGGCCATCCTAGGGCCTATGAAGCCCCAGGACGCCACCATAGGCCTAGCCTAGCCCCCGGTAGCAAAGGTGAAGGTAACCCCTATCATGGGACTCCTGTATGGAAAATGCAAGCGACGCACTCCCCCACTTTCGGCATCGCTGTCTCTGGCGGGGTTTGCGGTAAAAAGTCGGCTTTTTGAGAATTAAAAGGCAAACGATGCAAGCCCACAGTCCAATGTTTTATGTTGATTGTATGACAACTGATTTGTTTTTGCGCGTGCTTTTGCGTAGGCTGTAGATCTACTGAAGACATGCAGTTATGCTTGGATTTCGCGTGGGCTATTGAGACTACTCGTTCTTGACTTGGCAGAACGTTTTCGCTGGTATAAACCTTGATTTGGCGCTGTGGCCCGATCCACAACCGCCGGAACTTTTGCAGGTCCTTCGAGGGAGCTTCTTCGCAAGCTTTCGCAGAAATTCGATGGGTTGTTATTAGTTTCTCCTCAAGACACCCCTGAATGTTGCTACGTGTTAAAAAAGAAGCACCAGCGTCAACAAATACAACCGCATAGCGATAAAAATTTCAACTTGGGCGGTAGCCCGATAGTGTATTTTCAACCTCTTCCACTTGCTTGTCGGCTGCAGGCTTGTCAGTCATACTTCAGACTTTCGATTTGCAATTTGTCCGCTTTACTTAATAATTGTTTCCACCAGCTCAGTTTCACTTTCGGACTATCCTTTGTACTTTGTTCATGTGGGATTTTGCTTTTCACACAAGAGACGTTCAAGCTTTTCAAGTTTCTTTCTCGAATTGTCCTTCCAACTTCGTGGCGGGCGCGTTTGCATGTCGTAAAGACGAGTAATGTCCACGCAGTACCTGTGCTGAACTGCTGTGACTGCGACAATTCTGGAGCAGCGTTGGGTCAAAGTACGCTGGATTGCTAGATCTTACCTCTTTATGACCATCTCACAAACCATCAAACAGATTTGCTAAAGCCCAAGTGGAAAAACGGAAAGGAGCCTGTGGTCATGGTCATCAGTGGGAGTGCCCCGCAAAAGCCCCAGTTCATAAACAGCCACAAAAACAACGCCGGTTCAATCGGGTTTTGTGACCTATGAAAAAAAACAGCTGCTGGCCCCTTTTTGCGCAGACTTCTGCCTTTGAACTTGCAGTTAAAGTTGAGCTGTTCCAACACATTGGTCAAAAGCAAGCGATTTGAACATCAAGTTTTGTTGACTTGAAAATGAAAATCATTTCTTGTGCACAACTTGTGCCCGGCGGACACACACTCGAGGTATTAGTACGTACTGGTCGCATGCCACGGCGAAACCTCGGCGAAAAAAACATCTTAAGAAACTGAGAAGGGAGGGACGAAAGCCCGCCCCGCCCCCCAGCCCCGCGTATGTGTGTAGCGTCATTTTCTCACTCGCCGCACATGTTTCGGTTGCACCTCTGATGAACTCGTTGGCCAAACGGCCAGTTCAAGGTTACGCGCCCGTCCAACCTCCTTGACTTGAATTAAAGGTGCCGCTGGCCAGTACAAATGGCATGCTTCATGATGAACGAACATCTTGGTTGAGGCATGGTGTCACGGCTCTGTCCCAGTGTCCTCGAACGGCTTGCACATGGATGCATGAGTTTGACGAGGCTGCACCCCTGATGAACTCGGTGGCCAAACGGCCAGTTCAAGGTGACGTGTCCGCCCAAAACAATCACGACGTGTCCATTCCAGTACCCGCCTTTCCTATTTTGACTGTCAGTGAATTCGCGCGCGCAGGTCTGGAGCCCTGTCGCAACACGGTGTAGAGGTGAGGAAGTGGGGGCAAGGTGCGATCGCAGCGCTGAATATAGCGGAAACGAAGCGGACACCGGATCATACTCCTCTGACTTTGAGGGTAGGGGAGGAGAGGAGTGCAGGCAGCCTGCGTGTCGCAGCAGTGAACGTAGCACAAATAAGAAAGGCAGGATCCCCCCCCAAAGACGTCTTTGCAGTGGAGCCCAGCTAAATGTAGTAAACAAATATGAATAAGCAGCAAACACTCACAACGTTTCAATTCCACTACCAAACTTTCCTGCATCTTACATGACCCTTCTTCTACCTTCTTTCCCTCCCCATTAGATTGTTATTTTTGACCTTCCAAAACTACCAGTTTTGCCATGCCCGACGACCCCCAAATACTCACTTCGTTCGCTACTCAGATCTTCAGCCTAGCCTACGGCTGGCTTTCGTAATTTTAACCAAAGTCTCCAAAATTCCAAGTTTAAAACGCGAACAAAGGATCGCATATTGGTGACCTTGGAAGCCTAAACAGCCTGACTTAAAAACACGTGGTTCAAACATGCTCCAGTGCGATTTCACCGTCCAAGGACGCCTCCAAACAGAAGGAGAAAAACGAAAGTGCTGAAAAGCGTCAGAGCCTCTGAAGCACTACGCACACACATGAACCACTTTGCACTGGCTGGCCTGCGATGAACTAGCTGACTGAAGAAAAGGGAGACTTTTTGTTTTGCGGGGCGTCTTTCGACTTTTCGACTTGCCAAGAGTTCCACTCTTCGACTTGCACGCGAAGAGCAAAGTTTTCGCCCTAATACAGCTGACCCGCCGATTGCTTGACATATGACCCACAAAAATTGCAACTGTCATCAAATAATCACTGCTGTAGCAGGTACCAGGTACACAGATCAAACATTGCCTCCCCAATCGTCTAATAGCTTCGCTGGGACAGGTATGCACTTAAGGGTTGCGCCCTCTGAACTCTTCAAGTGTGGTAAACCATCGTTCCTTGGCGCGCGCGCGCCCACGTACACACACTGGGGGGCGGACACTCTGCGAAGATTCAGAAATGTCCAAGGCCTCAGGCCAACCGAAATCACACAGGTTCACCAATTGCCCGGTGATACGCATCTTGCGGGGATTCTAGGGAGCATGCGCACCGAAAAAGCCTCACCTAATTGTGATTTTGGCGAACACTCATGCGAATGTGGGGAGGTTCTTGTTCAGCAACGAAGGTCACCTTCACCTAGAGCGTCTGCAGTGGGCAAAGGCGATGATGGAACAAGACTGCTTCTACTAAGTTGAAACATATGCCCACCGCTTTGCGGGGGCCCTCAGTTCCATCTGAGGCCAAACCAAACATCAACCCGTCAGGCCACGTGGTGAACATGCGAGGGGTTCAAGTCGAAGTTTGCGCGCGGGTCACTGCGCGTGGATACGTATGTGAAATTGGTCCCGAACGGGCGTTTTCACGCAGGCGTAAGCGCGCGTAAGCTCAAGGGCCCTGTAAACCCAAATGGCGGCGGAATGCGCCATGGACAGAACTCGGCTGTACACAAGATACAAACAACAGGGAAAATTCACACTCAACCTGTTCTTCGAGTCTGTCCGGGATCTCATGTACATCCGCCATCTATACAGGAATTTCTACAAGTAGTTCCGTAGTGCGTTCTACGTTAAAGGTTGTGAAACTTCTCTTCTTCGGCAAATCTACGCTCTTCTACAAATCATCGTTCTGCTCGTCGTTTCTCCTTGTTCTTGTCAACTTGGTAGATGCACGATCGAAGGACCGAAAGTAGTACGTCCGGCTTCATGCTCTTGGTCAAACAATCACTCAACATCGTGTGAGCGCTGATCCAGTCAAGACGATCTCCTCCATTCGGGAAAATGTTCTATGTCCTCTGTGGTCCTTGCCACAAGTTCTCATGAATTGCGGCCAACTCAATCCCGAGTCTCTTATCTGACACCTTGGCTAGTGTCTCTGCATCGAGGTGATCCCAAAGCGAACGGCAATCCGAAAATTGCAAATGCGGAACACAGGATCTCATAATGGATTCCCAATCCTTGCGGCTGTGCAAACAACCCTTCGTCTCAGCGATAAGGGCGCGGATTTTGTCTCCGCTCCCTATACCGGATTGCAACGAATACGTCTCTGCTTAGAGTATCGAACGACACACTCTCTTGATGGTCGTGGACGAAAAGCGTAATGGCAGCACATGGCAAATGTACACATTCTCATCCTTCATCTGCTCCACATTAGCCAAAAGGTGCGCACGTCCTTGTTGCGACTTGAAACCTTTCTCATTGCAGAATGAAGCATCTGTCACTGTGATGATACCAACATTGCGCCAATCGGTCATCTTCAAATGATCTCTTGGAAATTGAAACACGACATCTTCGAGTTGCTTGTGTGCCAAATCGACGACTTTATTGCACTTGCGCAGGAGTCCAACGGTCGCGCCGTTGATCGATGTTTGAAGATAGCTGACGCGGTACGCCCAATCAGGACGTCCCTGTCTTGCTACCCATGCCAACGAGCCAACAACAGATCTCAACTTCGTGATCTGATCTGGGCTCAATTTGTCTGACAACTTCTGGCTGTTGTCCACTTTGATTTTCTTGATCGTTCGGGTGTTATCCTTTGTGTGGAAAAACAGCGATGCGTTCTGTTCACCAAAAGCTTTACCGCAGTAGCGGAAGTTCGTCTCCTCCAATGAACCTAGTTCAGAGGAGCCTAACAACGAATCCATTACTTCCTTTGCTTCTGGCAAATAGCTATACAACAAGTCATCAACATGTGTTGTCAGAATGGCAATGCAACGGTTCTCCTCATCGAGCTTGTAAAAGAATGCTGGGTAAATGATACTGGGCGTCAGTCCAGCCTTCTTGGCATCTGACGACAAGCGAAGCCAAAATGATCTTCCACTGTCTGTGAGTCCATACACGGGAACTCGTACCAACAGTGCGGCGTTGGGATCAACTTGAGGCAGTCCGCCTCGTGGCTGTCGCAAAAGAAGTACTCGATCCAATGGCTCAGACTGGAAATAAGCATTACTTACATCTGCGGAATGCAATTTGGTTCCAACAAGGGAAGCCCACGCGGTAATGATCATGTGCAAATCGCTATCTCCGGTGGGAGGATCAGAGTGAATGTTTGTGTGTGTGTTGAAAGTTTCCGCGCGACACAAATCGGCTCTTCCACTTCGGCTGGTAATCTGGTGCGTGCTTCTTGAACGCATTCTTGTCTACATGGGCCCCTTTGCTGGGAATCATGACATGTCCTTGCTGCAACAATCCGTCTTTCTCGGCTCCTTCAATCACAACAACGGCTCCGAAACGAAGGAATTTCTCCCATTCCTTTTCCATTGCTTTGCGAAGCCCTTCCTGGGTCTCTGGTGGCGCTGTCTCGAAGCCAATGCTACAAAGTACACGTTTCTCATTGTCTTCGGTGTGTTGCGCCAAAAACCCAGCTGCTAGACTAGCAGTTGTGAAGGATCTTGCCCTGCAAGGTGCGAAGCTCTTTCCAAATGTCGTCGGATCGATAGCGGCAAATCGTCCAGATTGTGTGCTATATTCGGCCATGATGCTGGAGACTCACTTGATGATCTTCTCGAATCTCGAGATGGCTCTGACTCCGGCTCTCCAGTGCTTGGACGGACAGCTCTTGGCGACGGACCGGCTGCTGAGGACGCAGGCCGGCGTCTTCACTGATGTCTTCTCCTTCTTCCTCTCCATCAGGAACTTCTCCAAAGATCTCAGGGCTAATCTGCCAGATGTCACTATCCTCTTCCGGAACAGGCGGAAGTCGTTCCGGTGAATAGGATGGCCCTTCTGCGGCAGGCTGAGGTGGCTCATCGTCAACCTCTTCATGGCCTCTCATGCGAGCATCTAGAAACGATTGTTGACTTGTCCCTTCTACAATCTCACCGGGAACAATCGGATCACCGTGCAAAATGCTAAGTGCTAAGGCCTCGGATGCAGTTGCAGGTCTGACGTTTTGGGTGGTGACCATTGCGTACCTCCACGCTCATTGTCCCTACGAAACACAACTGAATCTCCTACCGAATAGGTGTGCTTGATGGTCGACGCATTTCTGAGTAGTGCCTTCTGCACTCTCCGGGAGCAATCTAGGTGAACAAAAGCCCTCTGTGCTTCCATGCGGGATTGGTGTTGCAATGCAAAAATGCTTGTAGGGTCATACTTCGCTTCAATGGCTCCTAGCTGTGCCCATTGTTCTTCTGACAATGCTTGGGGCCTCCCGAGGTCCTTTGCCTAAAACCCATTGGCTTGGTGAAAATCGGTCTCAACCTGTTCTCTGCCTTGAATTTGGATTTCATGGCAAATCTTGCGATGCATGCCCTTGAGCAATCCTCCATGTCTCTCAACACGGCCAGCCCACGAAGACCAACGCTCTTGCAAAGCTTTCAAACAAGTACTTGATGAACACTGGCCTGGACCTTGCCTCACAACATGCGCCAGCTGGAAGGTGGCTCCAACACAAACCATGTTCAAAACTTGGAACTTTGTGCCATCGATATCAATCACTTCGAACAGATCAATTCCCAGGGTGTGATTGAACCTAGAATCCCATGGCAACTGGGTCTTGTGTGTTGGCTGTTTCTGAGAAGGTGTTCAATACGTTCTTCCTGCACGAAAGCAGGAAATGCAGTAGACAGCAAATCTGTCATTGTCAAATCATGAAGCCAATCTTTCAACCATGAGCCCATGTCTGAAGACAGTACATGGTCCATTGTTTTGCTCTGGCCCTAATCTTCAAAGCTCTTTGGACTTGTTCATCATTGCATGTAAAACCCAAACGATCAGTCAAGTATGGGGTCTGTTGCGAAACACGCTGTTCCCATCTCGTCGTAGTAGATGAATCAATGTGCAAAAAGCGAGTCCTATCGTCTGCCTTGGCATGCATCTCGAGCTCACGAAGCAATCTTGCATGTCCTAATGGGGTCTCATTTCCAGAGTACCCAATGGCTACCACAATGAAATCGTGCCGGGCGAAAATCTCTTGCCAATTGACCTCTCCCGGCATTGCTTCGAAGTTGCAACAGTCGTGACCGGCGTCCAAGACGTCAAAGTCATTGTCCTGGAAAACGGATGGATGGTCAGTGATGATGCAAACAGTGGGAGGATTGGCATCAATGGATTTCAACCACAAAGATATTGCACACAGTGGTCATGGGTGCTCAGGTTCTCTAATCCCTCCATGACTTGCTTACGACGCTTCCTACTCAAAGCGCTTCTTTCTTCTGGCGCAATGGCAACGAATGCAGCCGTGAGGTCTGCTTCAGGCGACTCGTTTGTTGAAGGTGGTTCAAAATCATCTTCCTTGGCAATGGGCGATTCCACAACGTCTGAATCGCTCGGGTCCAAATCAATGGTACCCACAAATGCAAAAAGGTTCGAAACATGCAAGGTTTCACAAGGGGTTCTTGCACACGTCGGCGACGAATCGGCTGTGGTGGATTCCGTGTCCGACGACGAATCTTCTTCCTTGAAAACAACCCTTGGCAAAGCTTCTACAAGTTTGATGCGCAACCTCGACGGCTTTGGTGGAGTTGGGGGTGTCCCAACACAAAGTCGGCCGGCGCTCTCCTTGGCATCTGAGCGCAAAACTTTTTCACCTCCGGCATTCGACGGTGGATATGCGAACGTGATCATGTCGGACCACGAATTGTCGATGTTCTTGCGGTGATCGATCTTGAACATACGCTCAGCCAAATACCAAGGTCCTGGCGGCTCAGTGTCGGTGTTCCTGTCACGAACGAACGTTGTCTTGAGCCAGCCACTCATGGTGTGGCCATTGAAAGGCACATAGGTGGTGTGACAGCCACCCTTGATGCGAATGTTCACTCGAACACCTTGGTGATCTTCTCCATCGCACAACGACGGTGATTCATCATCTGCGATCCACAGAGTTCGATCACGGTTCTTGCGGCGGCGGGCCAATGCGACAAGTTCGTCGAGGTGTGCACTAGTCAGCTCAGTGGGGTTTGCCCTGCAGCCGAGCGAAGCGCTTGCATCGTAGACCCGTACTGCCACTTGCGAATAGTGCTTGTTTGACCAAA